ACACACACACACACACACACACACACACACACACACACACACACACAGAGTGATCGCACGCACGAATCGGGGAGGATGCTGCGAGGGCTGTGCAGGCAGCTGCAGCCAGCGGTGCAGACAGCCTTATAGACCCAAGGCGCCCAGGACCCGGCGGCAGAGCGCACGGTCCCTGCCGGGTTCTCCGGCACTGCAGCCCCCAGTGGCCGCCTGCGGAGCTGCAGCAGCTCCGGACCCCAGCACCTGCTTCAGTACGGACCCACACCCGGGGAATCCGTGTTTCCTACAGCGTTGGTGCGGGGTAAATGGGCAGGAGCTGCAGTCTAGCAGGGCCACAAGCCCCAGGAACTCGGAGTACCAGCTTGATCCGCAGCGCAGTGACACCGAAGCCTCTGCGCAAGGCTATCTCCGCGGACAATTCGAGCCCAAGCTGCAGCCTCTCCTGCGGAGAGCGCCTTGCACACAGCCGCCAGCCTGCCGCCTGCCGGAGGAAAACCCAACCATGCTGGCCCGGGGCTGCGGGTGGGGGTGGCGATGGGAGGATCGCGCCCAACGAGCCCCGAACCCAGCTAGGATCCTGCAGTTTAGTCAGGAACCCATGGCAACACGCGCTCGGTGCATGCACACACAACAGACTTTCCTCGAACATTTTAAGGCTGTGTCCAAGCGAATGGTACCTGGAAGCGCTTGTTGGACCGCCCAGCACAATCTCCTCCTTCACCACCTCACACACGTGACATAGCAAGAAATCAAGGCCCCAGATTCAAATGGAATATCTAAGGCACGTGGTAGGTAGTGGAGCCTTCACTCTGGATCAGCTGTAGGCTTAGAATCACAAAGCTGGTGCAGCAGAGTCTCAGTGGTCTTTGGGTTATCAGTGGCTAGTTCCTAGGGAAGATAAGACTGGGAGATGGCCCTCTAGGCTCTGAAGAGGAGTGCCACGTGTGCCTTTCCCTGTGGAGGAAGTGAACTGGGGAGTCCCACTGTTGCTTCAGCTGCTAACGCCAAGGGCAGAGAGCTTGCTTCAGTTCATCTCTGCTCTCCTGACGGCTCCCGTGTTCCGTGCACCTGTCCCACTTACCCACAGGGAGGCACATGTGGCATGTGGATGGCTCAAATGGACACAGCTGTATGAAAGACAGTCTCTTGTCTGTCTTGGTACCCAGCTGGGTGCATACCTACTGAGGTGCAAACAGGCAGGTAGGTCTCGTGCACAGGGCATCCTCCTGGGGTGCACCCAAGGAAACTGTCAGATTGGCAAGTCACAACATTCCTTGAAGACAAGCCCTTCCCTGGAAAGATTCTGGGATGCCCGAGAGAAAGGGCACGACTAGGATGTAGCTCCAGGGTGTAACAGGTGGGCTGTCCCTGGAGAGACAGAAGTTGACTCCTGAAAAGAGAGGCAGGAGGAGCAGGGATAGAGGATGGGAAGCAGAGGAAGGCGAGGAGTAGGAACAAAGAGTGTGAATAAAGAAGAGGGGGGCAGGAAGTGAGCTGCAGAGAGCCTTCTTTGCTTACCTGCTTTGCAGTGCCATAATTAGTAAATATATTATTGTAATGAGCACAATAATTTAAAAAGTGAGATTAGATAGACTAATTTTTTTGTTTATTTTGTCTTGGTTTTTTCAGAGTTTCTCTGTAATAGCCCTAGCTGTTCTGAAACCTAGCTCTGGTAGATCAGGCTGGCCTTGAACTCACCGAGTGTGGGGATTAAAGACATCTTCCACCACCATCCAGCTTTAATAGGCCAATTTTTACAGTGGCTAGAGTGCAAAGAGGACTTACACTCTGATCTACTCTCTGAATTCCACCCAGGAGGTGGGGCCGAAGGCTAGGCTGCTTGTAACTGGGCCGTCCATGAAAGGGTAAGGGGTGGAAGAGTGAGCAAAGGTAGGGCCAGACCAGAACGGCACAGAGACAGAGTTGGAGGTGTGGAAGAAAATAATAAAGGAGGAAGGTTGGGGGGTGCAGAGCACAGCTAGGCGGACCTCATCCCTGGTGTGTGTGTGGTGGGGGGGCAGGGCACAGCTAGGCGGACCTCATCCCTGGTGTGTGTGGGGGGGGCAGGGCACAGCTAGGCGGACCTCATCCCTGGTGTGTGTGTGTGGTGGTGGGCAGAGCACAGCTAGGCGGACCTCATCCCTGGTGTGTGTGTGTGTGTGTGTGTGTGTGTGTGTGTGTGTGTGTGTTGGGGGGAGACAGGGCACAGCTAGGTGACCTTCATCCCTGGTGTGTGTGTTGGGGACAGGGCACAGCTAGGCGGACCTCATTCCTGGCGGGAAGGTTTCCCCACTCAGCAAACACAGCAATGCAGTTTCTCTAACAGAGACAGGACCTGGATGGCGATTCATTTAGAGAAAAACTCAGATGTGCTTGCCTCAGCATAAAGTGAGTTCAGGGATCGGACTTGGGTGCCCTGTAAGTTCACTGTGGCTTTGTGAGGAGTAATGGACACAGCAAATCTCTTCCCTTAAAGGAGTTGAATGTGTGGAAGAGATGTGTTGCATCCTTGGAAGATGGGTGAGGCCCTGTATGCATGCAGGGAACTGGAGAGATAACCTCTGCAGCCACCTCTGTCCATGGAAAACCCAGCAGGAGGTAATCCAAAGGGACCGTGAGAAGTCCAGCGAGGGTTTCTTGGCTCATTGGGCAAGCCCAGAAAGTTACATAAAAGCAGCTGCCTGGCTACTAACCACACATGTTAGTCAGGGGTAGCCAAAGGTCACTCCATCACTGTGTGTGTCTGGGGGGGGATTGCATGTGAGCCACCTGACAATGGATTCCTCTCTACCCCCACTCTTCTGGATAGCCCTGTGCTGAACAGGTTTGAACCTCAGTCTTCTCCCGTTTACCTGTTCCTTTGCCCAGGCTGGACCTCCTGGCCTGGAATCACTGTGCTAAACCTATAAATATGTTTCAGCCCCTTTGTAAGTACTTGATGTTTTCAGAGCTAAGATACTGAAATGCAGACCCATAAATGGATGCCCAGAGAGTGCCCACCTGGCAGGTGTCTTTTGATGTGTCCAAGCACGCCTCTACATTTCTGGGCTTCCTGATGGACATTGAAGCTTCCCTTCATTCCTTAGTATGATCACAAACCCAATGAGGAGAAGCTCTAGGCTCATTCCCACTCCCAGCAGCCACCTGCTCTCCCCGGGGGGGGGGGGAGCTCCTCCTTGTCTTGTTCTGTTGTCTGCATCCCTTGGCTCTCCGGCTGGGCTGTAAACTGTAAGCCCAGTTCCTCAGACTGACACTGCAGGACTTCAATTGCTGATCCAAAGAATGAGACCCTAGTCCTTTCTCTGAACCAGGGAGAAGTAGTGACATCCTGAACTGACCAGAAGGTCCCTTATAGGCGGCTATCTAAATGTGACTCCAGATGCTCAAAATCCCATGATTTTACTGCCTACCAGGGTATTTTTTAATCAAGAGCAGGATTTACCATTGCCCCTTTTGTGAGAGTCAGTCCAAACTAACCTGTCAATCACCTGGAAGTAAAACACCCCTCAGGAAAAGCTACTTTGTTACAGGGACTTCAGGAATAGTGTAAAGACCGCCTAAAATGTAGAGCAACACCATGGCCTGGCAGGCACGCTCACCACTGAGAGCATCCGTTCCTCTGCCCTGTAGTCATGTTCCTCATCTACAGCACTCACCACTGAGAGCACATGTTCCTCCGTTCCTCCACTCTACAGTAACGGCCCTCATCTACACAGTACTCTATCTGGTCTGTATTCTTTCAGAGAGGTTCAGGTTAGCTGGGAGGACAGATGCCCGGGCTTGTGGGATCACAGGGTGGGGACTGTTTGCTTTAATATGCCCTGTGGGGAAAGAGTGAAGCCTGGAATCCCAGAGGCTGCTGAGGCTCCTCCTGTGTTTCCCTCAGCCCACATGCCTGAAGAATAACTGTGGACCAGGGGAGCAGGAGGCCTCCTGGTACACAGGGGTTGGAGAGATGACCCAGTCAGTAAGGTATTATGAGAAACCAAAGTCAGTCCACAGAAACCACATTTACAAAGCTAAGCACGATGACCTACATTTGTGATCCCAGTGTTGGGGAGCTGGAGATGGGTGGATCCCTGGGGTTCACTGGCCCCCTAACCCAGGCTACTAGGAGAGTTACAGACCAATGACAGACTCTATCTGGAGAAGAAGAAGAAGCAGAACAAGAGGAGGAGGAGGGGGAGAAAAGGAAGGAAGGAAGGAAGGAAGGAAGGAAGGAAGGAAGGAAGGAAGGAAGGAAGGAAGGAAGGAAGGAAGGAGTTTCTGAAGAGAGCTACCAAGGTAGTCCTCTGATCACTATGCACATAGGCACACACATTAGGCATACCTGCATATATATGTGCACCACACCCAGGTCTCAGAACCCAGTTACAGGCTCCAGGGTCTCCTTCCGTAGTCCATGGACTGGGAGTTGGAATCTGGTCCTTCATTCTTAGTACCCCATTCAGGCAGCAAACCCAGTTTAGCCCACGTGCCTGTGGGAAATTTTGTGTCCTCATGAGCTGAGGCCCAGGGCTCAGTTTTCCGGACATTTTCCTGCTTGCTGAATATCTTTTATCCTTTCTCCCTTTCCTCATGTGTAGTGAGAAACAGCCAGAATAAATTCTGATTAGTATGCATATGTATTCCTCAATTCCATAACAGAATGACTAACACCACCTACAGCCATTAGCTTGAGTTTGTTTTCTAAATCCAGTTTGCTTTTTATCTTGCAGCTCTCTGTTTACCACTTCCATCTCAAGCCCAGTGATCTCCCTCTGCTGCTTCTGTCCCCAGTCCTGAGTCTGAGCTAACGGAATCTTGG